CCGACAAAGTAAAAGTCAAGTCATCGCCTTGATAAATAAATACATAAATACATCACACAGTCATGCTCACACATGTGCATGTCGCCAGTTACATTTTATAGGGCTGTGAAGTGCACGTGCTTCTGAAGGTGAACCTGTGGTGGAAGAACGGTAAGAAACCTTTTACTGCAACGAGACAATGTCCCAGCTCACCTCTCCCCACATCAGCTCCTCATTACACACACAAATGCACTCGGTTTCTGTAAACTCTGATGGAGGAATCTTAGGTGTAACACTGCCTGCTGAGTGTATAAAAATCAGACACAATGCATGCCTATACAGCGAGGACACAAACAGTCACATATTTTATCCTCACAAATAAACATATTCATTCACTGTACATAAATTGAGTTTTCCAAGCATCGCCCCTCTTGCGCTGTGGACATTCTACAAGCGGTAATGTAAGGTAGACGATTCCTCTCCTCCCCTCGATTTCCTCTTGCCCTATGCACCTCCAATTCACTGTGCCAAATGGTACATTTACATTGGCCATAACCTCAATCACCATGCTTGCAGGCTATGCTGAATGTGCAGGCAGACATTTCTACAGTGAAGGGATGCAGACAGTGGTATAATGGGAGCAATAGATAGAAACCCACGCCCGAGGCATCCATCAAACCAAACGACTCCATTACAGTAAGTCCGACAGAGGCAAACGGTAATGTGCACTGTGATAAACACTAGGATAATAGTCTGTTTATAGTCCTGGACACACTGTTTCTGCTGGGAAACACTGGCTAGGAATACAGATAAGATACACGAGCACCAACCTCTATCTTTTTCACTCTGTTCTATCGCTTCTCCCTCTCCCTCGTTTTGCTGTTATCAGTCACTTTCGCTCCCTTGTTCTCTTTATCCTTTTCCGCTCTCCCTGTTTAATATTTTCCTTCCTGCAGAACACAGAGCAGGCTGCATACATCAGCTGAACCGAGCTTTATCTGGTGTTTTACTGTTGTAGCATTACCATCACAGTACTGGAATGAGGCCTAAGAGAGCCATAAAAATTTAACAGAAACGATTCAGACGTAGAATGAAACATCACACAAAATTCCCACAAGTATGTATGTTTAACGTTAAAAAGACAAACTCGCAGGCACGCACAGATAAAGCGGCCCACGCTCGTATCGGTTCATATCATAGGTGGGTTGCAGTTTCGGCTCGGAGACTGCTCCGTGTGTCTGTGAAAGTGGGAAGGGGTAAACACAGTTGTAGACAAATCTGACCACACTCAGCATTCCCCAGAGGAACCGCGGAATGGCCAACCTGCTGCTGCTATGAATCAATTATAACAGTACACAAAAAGGCACTCTCTTTTAAAGATGGGAGGTGGAGGTGAAGGCCCATGGGGGGCGGGCAAAAGGAAAATCTTTCCATCTGTTGATAATGGTGCATTTGTTCTCAGTGCACTCGGTTGCTGCATGGGCTGTACCTCCCTGCGTCTGCATGCTCAGAATGAGATAAGAAAATTTCAATGCACCGTGACATAAACATAAAATGAGGCGAGGGGCCGTTGTTTGTTTTACATTCCGATTAACCCGAGGAGCATCAGAGCTTGATTAAGGGGCTCCTAGATCAGCCTGATCTGTGAGGGCCTGTGTTTATGCTCATAGTTAACCTCTATTACAAGACTTACTTTATTCCAGATAGCAGCTCCTCTACTGCTTCTAATGGAAGTCATTACATAGTGGAGTAGGGTCAGAACACACGCGCACGCACGCACGCACGCACACGCACGCACACACACGCACACACACACATACACAGACACACACGCACAGTCTCACACTCACACACACGCACGCACACGCACGCACACGCACGCACACACACACAGAGTCTGCAGTGAGGCAGGGTCACAGCAGAGGCCAGTATCTATTGCGCTATATTTAAGATCAGTTAAACTTAATGACCTCCTTCGTCCTCTTGGCCTATCAAATAGACTACAACATTAGCCCTTGGACGTAGTTTGGCCTTTTATGTTTGCTGTCCAGGCAATGTCGGTTTTAACAGGATGTGATAAAATGTGGATAATCGCACACCCACTTGAGGGGATGATGGTGTAGGTTTATTAAAGGAAATGAGCCCATGGTGAGAGGGAGCTAATCTGATTCTAACAGGAGACTACGGCTTTAAAAGAGGAGGTATCCCACTAAGGCTAAATCAAGTGGTACTACAGTGTTTAGAGTATCCCCATATTTTTTTCTTTTACAACAGAAAAAGCAGAGTAGAGAATACAGAAGAGAACGCAGGCATTTACATTACTGCATTTCCCTGTCAAAAGAATCTCGCTGAACTGTTGTCATGGTTGATAGTTTTCTGCTGCATTAATGCTGAAAAGCATCGTGTCCCGAGTGTAAACTTTCTAACTCTGTTTTCATGACAAATGATGGCACTTTATGTTCTGATGAATGTGATTAAGTGTAAAATAGGTTCAGAGTGAGAAAATAAATATTCATTGTTATCCTCTTGCACTCACTGGCTCATTATTGTTCACTGTTACTTTACCCTAAAAGCTTGCTCTTCCCAGTGACTTACCATTTCTGTTGTATGGGCTCTCATACCTCACTCTGCGTGGAGGCAACATGTTGAGTTCACATATGGAAAGATAAGGGAAAGTAAATATGTATTTCACATGACTGTTGTTTCTTCTTTTTCTTTCTGCCTCTGTCCAAATCTTACCCTCTTCTTCTTTCTGTTGTCTCTTTTGTTGATTTATAATGCAGTAAAGGTATTATGACATCATCATTACAGAACATTAAGGTCAACCTGACAACACACAAAGATACCGCTAAAGTACTAAGAGTGCACAGCCAGCATGGGATTCACTCATGAAGCCTACACATTTTATAGCATTAAACACACCAACAGTATTATTAGACCATATACTCACTGTGCAGTTTATTAGGTACACCTTTCTAGTACTGGGGTTGACCCCCTTTTGTATTTGGAAATGCGTTAATTTTTTGTGGCATAGACTAAACAAGGTGCTGGAAACTTTTCTCAGATATTTAGGTCCATATTAACATAGCAGCATCAAACAGTTGCTGCAGATTTGACCACATCTGTGGCGTGAATCTGAACTCTTGGACATGGTGCAGTACCCGACTAGAAGCACCTTTCAGATGATGGGTGGCTGTGGTCATAAAGGGATGGATGTGATCAGCAACAACACTCAAGTAGGTTGTGGTGTCCAAACAATGCTCCGCTGGTACTAATGTGCCCAAAGTGTGGCAAGAAAATATCCCTCACACCATTACACCACTACCAGCAGCCTGAACAAGGCACGACGGATCCAGGCTTTCATGTTGTTTACGCCAGAGTCTGACCCTACCATCTCAATGTTGCAGCAGTAATCAACACTCATTTTTCCAGTCTTATACTATAGTGCATCTGGAAAGTATTCACAGCGCTTCACTTGTCCCACATTTTTCACCACAAAATTTTATACTCAGTCCCCCATTACGACAAAATGAAACAGGTTTGCTTGAAATTCTGTCAAATTTGTTAATTGCACAGAAGTATTCATAGGCTTTGCTCAGCGCCTTGGGAAGCAATTACAGCCTCAAGCCTTTTTGAGTATGATGCTACAAGCTTGGCACGCTTTTTTCACCTATTCTTCTACAGAGAAGAATGGGAGAAAGCCCGATCAGGTTGGATGGAAAGCGTTGGTGCACAGTCTTTTTTAGTGTACCGAGTTGCTGCCATGTGATTGGATAATTAGAGATTTTTTTTAAATGAGCAGTTGAACAGGTATGCTAAACAAAGTGCACTATGAATTCAAAACAACTTAAAACAAAATCTATCAAAAACAATTTAAAAAGTAAATTTAGCCAAGGTGAATTGTTGTGGTACCAAAAGATGAAGGGATTTAATTCATCTTTCACTAAAAAAATGCAGAAACAACAAAGTTTCTTTTAGGGCACACTGGCAAGGTAAAGTCCTCAGAGTTTGCTATTACATTTTCTCCAAAAAGTTGATTAAATAAATAAATAGTTCTCAGCATGCCAGAATACCTTGAACTTTCTCTTGGATTGCTCCAAAATTATCTAAATGTATTCAATTTATTATCTAAATGCTTAGCGAACCTGAAAATTCTGCTCATATCAACTGTAGATACCACAATATCTAGGGAGGGAAAAAAGTTACTTTTAACACTGGTGATGTGCCTTGGAGCTATGGAACAAAAACCCAAACTGGTTAACAAACTACATGACCCACAACTGAGGGGTACTCACGTACTAGAGTAATGAGTCAACCAAGCTGGGAAGGCTCTCCCAGAGATAGTAATGGCAATAATGCCAAATCTAATGTGTCTGCCTGTTGAACCCTGCCGTGGATAAAATGATAGCCCATCAGTCACAACCACAGCCAATCTCAAAACCACACCTCCAGGATCACTTTTAATCTTATCCAACAGCACACTCTGCTCAGGTTAAGACATGTAGCTTTCTCTCTCTCTGCCAGACAGCAGTCTGTGCACTTCAAATGCATAAATGCCTTCATATTACATAACAACAATGGCCAATTACTCAAAGAAGTGCCACTAAGGATATCAATCAAGTGTTCACAAATATTCAGTGTGGGGAAAAAACCAAACATGCCCATGAAAAATCTATGCAGACACCTTTAATAATGAAATCATATTAAATATTTGCGTTTATCATACCACTATCCTAAACATCATCAAAAAGATGTGCTGAATAATTTCTTGTAATTGCTACATCACAACTGAAAACAAAGAATCCACTCAATATAGCAGTGTTAGTACACAATATACTGTAGCAGTCAGTATCAGACAGATCAGTATTCTTTAGGCGGGAACATTGAGTATAAAAGGACAAGGGAAAAACTAGATTCACCCTCAATCCTCATCAGAGCAGTTAACCTGGCAGAACACACAAGCCAGAGCTTCCAATTCCCAGGTTTCAACAGATGAATGCGTTTATTTGTCACACGCTCACCTTGCAGCTGTGCAAGGTAAAGAGAAAAAAAAAGGAGAGAGAGATGGATAGAAACAAAGAGTAAGTGCACTGTAAATCTACTGACCTTGGTCCTGGCTCTTTAGCTCTCTGTGTGAACGAGTTTAGCCTATAGCCTTAAATATTTCAACACTGCTTAGCTGACTGGAAAGTGCTGAGTTAGAAGGAGGGATAGATGCCAGGCCACAGCATTCAACCTCCCTCCAACAATTAACACAACAGCAGGACATCATTGCCATACCCTGTGGTATTTGTGTGTGTGTGTGTGTGTGTGTGTGTTTGTATGAGAGTGTGTGCGTGGCTACGTGTGCATCTTTGTTACAATCCTCTCCTTTTATTCAACTGTCTACTATAATTACTACTCTGCTCATTCTTAAAACATGTGCTACTATGTGGAGAATTTTTATAAATGGCGCCTCTACACGCAGAAAACACATCTTCAGTTTTCCTGAGAACTTACCAGTTACTGTGAGTTCAGTCGTCCTTCTGACCACAAAACCACCAAACTGGACTTCGCAGGTGTAATTCCCAATGTCATCTTCTGTTACCTCTTGGATAGACAGAATGTCTCTCTTCTGGATGATGCTTGCACGCCACTGCTTCGGACGGCACTCCTGTGTACCAAAGAACAGGCAGATCAGAACTGTAAAAATCTATTTCCTGATATATCATGTGAGGTGTCAGATGTCACATAAGTGACAAGTGTAAAGACGCTGTAGACTTTGTGTGGCCAGAGATGCAATATTCTGGGAAAGCAAGGCCTTGAGAAATGTAAGACCTGCAGAATTTTTTTTACAAATATACATCCATGAGATTTCAAACACTTCAACAATGCTGAGTGTAAAAAAAAAAGTGAATAAAGTGGTAAAAACACATAGCTCGCCACTCTGATATAATAATTTTATAGGCTAAAATGATAAAGCTAAGCTATTGTCCTACTTATCTGATCAAGATTTATTGCACTGAACGGAATATTCTCCATTCAATATTCTACAAAGGCCACAGAGAGACAGAGAATTTTATTTACACTACTCTCTGCTGACAAAATAAGTGTGTTTGTGCTACATCCGTGCGAATGCGAGTATACGTGAGCAGGCAAAGTGAGTGACTTCATGACATGATACTTTCTTCAGCTCCTTGGTGCTCAGCCAGGGACAGCGGTGGCTCGGTGGATTCTATTCTACCATTGCTCTCGGCAACCTTCGAATTCAATCACGGAGGCTCCGCAGTGGTCCAAATAACTCCGGGTTCCAGCACTCCCAGTCATTACCAAGATCGTAATTGAATTCTGGAAAAACCTAGAGGTCAAGCCTGGCCAGCTAATCTACCGCTGATCTGCCTGTGATTAGTCTGGCATGAGCCTTTCTCCGGGATGCACTTCGTTGTCCGCAGGCCATGCCTGACCTAGGAAAGGCAAGAACCCAGGTGATGGAGGCGGAGGTGCATGCTGAATAAAGATCAGGGACCAGGAGCATTTGGAGGGTATCCACTCTTTCCACAGGGCACAGAGTGACATTGCACAATTTTCTTCTCATAGAGGTTTTGTGTTCATTATAAAAGCCATCTCTGTGGCTGCCCTCTGCTCCCTCCTCACTCTCTTTCGATGACTCTCAAAATGGTGTGGCACACTGCGAATGTAGCTTAAGGATTTCATTGTCATCATTTGACTTTATACATAATCTGCCTAAGTAATCTGGAAACACAATTCCATTAAGGCTTTAAACACAAACAGACGAGAAATTAGATGAAAACAAACCAATGAAGCACTGAAGAATATTTCTCGGTTGTATAATCACAAAGACAGACGCCCCCTTCTTTCTGACAAATAAGAGGATTCAGGAAACAAAAATATCACTGAGCCTCCAGGCAAGGATAAAATAATGATGCAAAGATCATATGGCAGAAGAAACATAATCACATATTAACAAGCACGCTCAGTCGAACAGCAAGCTCACCTTGGACCAGGTGATGTCTGGTTCTTTGCCAGGTTCAACATAGTCATCTATGTCAGGACAGAGGATGTCTTTACTCTTGCTGAGCTCAGCCTTCTCCATTCGTCTCATTTTAGAGTTGTAGCACAGGTTTGTGTCATTTTCCGCCACAGTCAGAGACATGGAAACCTTCATGCAGTATGTAGAGTTTCTGTCGGCACAGAAGAACAATGCAAGGAGTTAATGAATGAGTTTGATTATAATAACGCTCTTATTTAGTCTTCTTTTATTGTCAGCTCAATAAAAACATCTGCAAAGAATAAGAAAGAAAAAGGAAACTTTTTATATGATTTTTCCTTTTACAAACCAAAAATGAACCATGTTGTTTTTTCCCTTTGATACCTTTTCAGTTAATATTCTTTTCCTTTTTACCCCCCTCTGCCTCGCTCGCCCTCTTTTTGTGTTTGTAGTGCTAGCAATAATGGAAAATCAGTGGAAAACATTCATGACTACATTCTGAATTTTTTTTTTTTTTTGGGGCGGGGGGAAGCTGAAATTGTTAATCTGAAAAAACGAGAAATGCAAAAATGGTCTCACAACAGGACAGTGAAAGATTCATGGCCTCTCGAGGACTCAACCCTCCCCCTTTTTCTCAGCAACCACCTGAGCTACAACCCGAGCTTTGATATTCGAGAAAGAAAGATGACTCTGTCTTTAAATTAATGTTATAAAAACGATCATCAAAGCCACATTCATTACAGTCCCTATCACCACTGACACATAGCTAAGAACTGACTGTAACAAAGTGTTCCCTGGTAAGCCTATGATACATGGCCGAAAATCTGTGGACACCCTTGCCACTGTAATAGTTTCTACTATTTTTGGAGGTCTCTCCACAAGATTTTGGACCTCAATCGCAGGAATTTTCTGGCATTTAGCTTCAGTGCTCCAGTTTCTTTCAGACTTCAGCAGGGCTGTGAGGTTGTAAAAAGTTGTAAAAAAAAAAAAATGTTTCTAGTTTGAAAGCACTTTGTAGAGATACTTACATGAAATCATCTCTAAAAAGACATATCTGTTTGTGAATATGCAGAGTCTTTGAAAGATGATAATCGTATCCCTTAATCCTGTCCCTGAAGCTTTGTAGCTTGGTGCAGTTTGCTTGTAGTCTGAGTACTACATTGCAAGTACTTTATAAACAGAGGAATAAAGAGAAAGAGAAAAAGGGGGAAATCATTTGATGAAATGCAATTTCCAAAATATTGTCTATCAATTAAATACAGTTTAAGACAGTGATGCACTCCTCAATGTATCTGGGGAAGGAGGAGGGAGTATGGTGACGGTTGTGGATGGGTCTGTGCCTGAAAAAATGAAAGACACTTTTCCACATAAGTTGCAAACAATGTTGGGAAAATCAAACTGGGATATTTCTGCAGGTGCTTTTCTCACCTGTAGAACACAACAGGAAGTAGCCTGGGTCAGACAAACTATCATTACTCCACTTGATTTAGGTGACCTTCTTATCTGGGCAGAGTGTGAAGGAGGCATAGCACATGATGTCCACTTGCTCTGTGTGAATTCACCACACAATTACCTGAGCTACTCTCATGAGGGCGCAAGTACTAGGAAGCTGGTAAAAGACTCCTAAATGTCCAATCCGACGGAAAGTTGAAGGCTACATGCATGTACCAAAAGGGCTGTAGCTTCAGTTAATGTGGAACAGCAAGCCAGGAGAGGTGCTTGTGGTCAAGAAAAACTGTGCGAGTGAGTGAGTAAACCGGTAAACACATCCAGAGTTTGTTAGGAACTTCCGATGACATAAAGAATGCCATTGCAGTAATTGAGTCTGGGGGTAACGAAGGCATGGATCCACATGTCTGTGAGACTAGCCTGATCCAAACCATTACAAATGGCCTCACCCCAAAAGACCACATTCTTTTTAATGTGTGTCTGTCTGGGATAGCTCTCACTTGGTCAGTCACCTTGTTGGAAGGCTGGTTGTACAGGCCATATGGGCTTTCATTTCATTACATTACATTTATGGCTGGCCAGATGCTCCCATTCACTGTAAATGACGGAGTTTCATATGATCTATTCAGGTTATGGAAGCAATAAGGGAGTCCCCTCTCTCATATAAACACCCCTGACCTCCTGGGGCCATAAAACACAGACGCAGACATGCACGTGTGCACCCACGCATCCATGTATGCTTAAAAGACATGTGTGGCTATGTGCTGCTATGGAAGGCTAGCAACAGATAGTACTAAGAGGGACAAAATGAGAATACACTGTAGCTACTAAAACTGCATATTTCTCCTACATAAAAATGACCAAAAGGGCATCTAGAAGACGCTGTGGGAAGCTAAAGCAAGATGCAAGATAGCCCCACAGAGCTATGCCCTCTTGGTGCAGAAAACTAACATTATTGACTCAATACCTCCTATCTGTAGGGAACAGAGTGGGAAGATGTGTTGCTCGAGGCTTACAGAGTACATGTGAACAATACGCTGTATTTGTCTACTGTACAAATACAACTATGCAAACATACACTCAATGGCACAAACACGGGCATGTACCTCACATTTGCATGTAAGCAAATTTATACATATATAAAGTCAAGCCAGAACCTGTATCAACCATCGAAGTGCCCAAGAAGCCTGCAGAAGACATCTCTGCATGTTAAATATTCACAGCAGGCACCCTGTGGCATTGTGGGAAGGTGTTGGTGCTTACGCTTGATTGATGGACAGCCGGAGGTCGATGCACACTCCTATGGTGTCGTTCACGTCTGTCACATTCTATTTAAGTATAGCAGCTTTAGATATTTGTCTGCAGCTCGTGGTAGCTGTAATTCTCCACATATTATTATCTAACATGTTGGACACCTTAATCATGGGAAGTAAATGCACTATTTTTCGCATACTCTAGAATACAGGTTTATTACTGGAAGTATTATAAAATAATTTATCCACCAAAAGTAGAGAGACTGTGGCAGTGAAAGAGTGGGAAAATAAGTCTGTTGGCTCAGTGACTCTGACTCAGTGTTACAGACCTGAGAGATGATATGCAGAGGAAAGAGAGGCAGGGAAAGAGCAAAGGAATAAAAGAGAGAGAGTCAAAGAGAGAGCATGGAGATTGGTATGTAAATTAAGTCACCTTGACATGAAAACTGGCAATTGGACTTAAATTTCCAGACAGAGAAGGACAAATAATCATTCACACACATGCAGACACACACACACACAATAAATGTACGCACAATCTATCCACAGAGAAATAGTGTGGTGTGCCTCAGTATCTCTTTCTGAGAAAAACACCTGGAGGGCTTTAGCGAAAACCTGGACTTAGAACAGATTTACCTTCAATTATAGACATTACACAACATACACATAGCTATAGGATAATGTATTATGTATACTGTACAGACAGGGGATGTTAGGACAGTGACACATTTTTGTTGTGTCAGCTTTAGCCCGTTAAATTACAACACTGACTTTGAACTTTACAATGACAAGGACTTAAAAGTACTGACTAACAGCTTTGACAAGAGAGTGGTCATTATAGGATATATAATCATCGGTGCTTCTAAATTGCTGATTCCAGTTAACTCTTTCATGTTATAAAACTTGTCCCCACGGCTTAAAACAACCCAATCTGACCACAGTCATTTTGGTATAAATAGGTATATGTGTATCCTTAATATTTAAATTTGGCATACAGGTACAGCTAAGGTCCCTAAAGGTTCTCATCTATATCTCACAACAGGAGGTATAGTGTCATTATGTTACCTGGCAACCACCTAACAAAATGGGCTAAAATGACCCAGTTATACCGTTTATGCACCTTATAAAAGCATGTATCATATTAATTAATACTAAATAACATAAATTTGTATAAATGTTGCAAATACCTAACAATGGACTAACTCTCAGACTAATCAATCCCGTAGCATGGGCATGTGTTATACCATGCAAATAGTCTTAAGAGACCCCTCATTACGTCTGCCAGGGAGTTTATGTTTTTGGTAGCATTCGCATGGATGTCATCATTCTGTCTGCAAACACAATAGCTCGAAAAGATTTGAATGAATTCTGATAATTCATGATTCTGATATTTTGTAGGAATGTACAGTGCATTCATGTTGGCTTATATCCAACAAGTTCTTCAACAAGTTCTTCAAGGCCCATGTAATGCTTTATTGGTTGAAAAATGACAAAACCCTTAACATAAAGATTCCCTTTATGTTAAGGGTTTTGTCATTAACAACATCTGTCATATACAGATGGAGATTCTACTGTAATTAATTTTATTATCTACATTACAGTAAAAGGTTATAACTGGTTAAACACATTACAATTTGTATACATGTCGGGTTTTTTTTTTTTTTTGGAAAGCAGCATATACTAAATGTGTATTACTAAATATTTACTTCTATAGTAGATGTGTAATTCTACACATCTACTAAAACCACATAAATAAAAAGTTCTTAAAAATAATTTAACTCATATTACATTTGTCTCTACTTTGCAAATGTTTTTACTGCACTACAAACTTAAAGTTAACTACTGCAAAACTACAAAGTCAGTATTTGATATGACCATCTTATACTTCAACACGGCCTGAACTCTCTTAGGGATGACTTTTTGTAATTTCTTATGATTTTCTGTACATTTCTTTAAGTACTCTTCAGGATAGTTTTCCAGGATTCTTGAAGGACGTTTAAAACTGTTCTTGGGATGTTGGTTGCTTTTGCTCCATTCTCTTTTAACATGATGCTATGTTAAGATATGTCTTTGCTACATTGTGTGGCAGTGTACAGGATGGGAACACTGTCATGCTGAAAAATGAAGCCAGTGATTGAAGTTTTCAGTCAGAAGTTTTCCAGTTAGTAGTGGATGATGGATCTAAATATGTATATTACAATATATACGCTCTGTCATTTGTAGGCTGAGTGCAGGCAGGAGTGGTAAAATGAAGAACCCAAAGTGCAGACTCCGGAGACAAACGTGAACTCAAGCAGAACAAAACTAAGACTCCAAATAACTTACACAGGCAGCCAGAACACACAGCATCTATGATGGTAGATCATGACACACAGAGAAACACAGGGCTTAAATACACAGAGGGAGCAATCAGGGAATGGGAAACAGGAGGAGAACACAGCTGGGGCAAATGAGGCCTAACGAGACAGGGGAAGCAAAACCAGATACATTAACATAAGACATGGACCTTCAAAGTAAAACAGGAAACATTACACAGAGACGCATACTTGACATGGGGAGACAGCAACTATGGATCACAGACAGAAAACCAGAAAACTAACAAAACCCACACAGAGAACCTAAACTAAGAATAATCCTATAACCCATAAGGCAAAGTTAGAATATAATGAAATAAACAATATCAAAGAGCCAAAAAACACAAAACACTGGGTCAACGACCCAGGCACCCTAACACCCTCTAATTGTCTATTTTTGATAACATTTTTTTAAAAATCATAGTTAACCCAAGTGTACATGAATATAATTACCTGTAAAACCTTACAAGTGCCAATTGTTCAGTAGATACTAACGTCTCCATTAACAACTATTTTCTATCAAGGGCATTACTGATATAGCACTGACACAGTGTAAGTTGAAAAATTCTCTTTGAGCAAGCACTTTGTGCAAACACTAAAAATGAATTATTTGCTATTAATTAATGGCTAAATACAGATTTTGAGAAAAGCAAATAATCTAAGAGAAAATAAAACACAGAGAAGTGAAGCTCTGTCTACAATAAATTATAAATGCTATACTGTACCAGAGGCACATATTGTGATTTTAATTGAATACATTAATTATAAGAGTCAACAAACCAAGTAAATCATTATGGTTTATTAGCCAGATTATTAACTTTACATATTATATATAGAAAGCCAAACTATAAATCTAACCTTATATATTCAATTTTTGAAAATGTTAGAGATGTTATTTTTAATATATAGTAGCATGGTTATGTCATTTTTTTATTCATCCCAATTATTATTATTATTATTATTATTATTATTGGGTTGTTTGAGATGTCTCCAGATAAATTAAGGTATACTGAAACTCCTATTTGTGATCTAAAGGGGGTGAAGAAAAGACTCCTCTTTGCCTGCAGGGAGTTTTAGGGGAGAATGTTTGGGTCATATGTGCTACAGTGTGTGACTCAAAAGCTTACACTATAACAAAAAGACAATTGATTTCAGCTCTGAGGCAAATCTCTTGCAGTGTTCTGATTAGGATATCTGAGAAGTTCGAAATCCTCTCAGCTCAACACAAGCAGAGAGGAAAACACAGCTGGGGGCACTTTGTTACGATTGCACTATTCTGCAGAAATATAGCATTCACAGAATTTCCAACAAAGTGTATACAGTTGTGGCCAGAAGTTTATCAACAGTCATCATGGACATGATTGTTCTGACCTGTTCTTTATCCAAGGTGCAATGATTATACAGCATCAATCTTAAATCACTTTAAAAAGCACGGCTCAGATATATAGATACACTCACTTTAATCTTTTAATTAAGTGGTGCTGAAGGTTTTACAATGTCTTCACATGGCCAAGGCCCATTAACTTCTCATTAGTGAGCACGATTGACTACAACTGGTAGTTTCTCTTTGTTGTTTGACAGCACTCATTGAATTGAATAATACTCTGAATAATGGGAAAGTTGGGAAAGAACTCAGTGAAGATCTAAGAAAGAGAAATGTAGATTAGCACAAGTTGGGAAAGTCTCTTGGAGGCATTTCTGAATGACTAACGATTAAATATAAAATGATCAGTTCAAACAATTGTACATAAGTTTATCTAGTTTCTACAAGATAAATCACCACTTTGACAAAGTCTGGAAAAATTGGCAAAGAAAATAATTTTGAATGCTCAGTAAGCATCTGTGCTCAAGTTTGCCAGGAACTGGTAACCAGTGGAACACCAGCGTGACTGTCCACAGTGAAGTGAGTTTTAAATCGCCGTTAACTAAGAAGGTTCCAAGCAAGAAAGTAGCCTTTGCTGCCAAAATCAACGCCTTCAAACTTAATTGAAATTTGCAGTTGCCTACATTGACAAAACAATTACATTCTGGGGAAAGGTTTCTTGGTTAGACAAGATAAAGACTGAGCTATTTGACCACAATAACAAGAGGTATATTTGGAGGAGTAACGATGGAGCTTTCAAACATAATAACACTTTGCCAGCTGTTTAGCATGGGAGTGGTAGCATCGTACCCTGGGGCTATTTTGTTGTCAGTGGTGCTGGAATATTGCACAAAGCAGAATAATTAAGAAGGAGGACTACCTCCAAATTCTTCAACTTCATCTCACATCAAGAGCTAAACAGTCAGGCTTTCAGCACAACTGAATGCTTCAACAGCTCAAACACACATTGGTTTTGGTCAAAGCAGACAAACATTAAACTTTAGGAATGGTCTCCCCAAACCACTCAACCCTATTGAAAACATGGTCTATGCTGGGTCAAAGCCAGGAAACCAACAAATTTAAATCACGTTGGCCAAGAAGACTGGGGAAATATCCAGCAAGAGTCATGCTAGAATTTTGTTAATGGCTACCAAGCATCTAGTTGAGGTGCAACTTTCTAAGGTACATGTAACCAAATATTAGTGGGGTTGTAAAAATTTACATAAGCATGTATATATGCTTTTGAACCTGTGTAGTTTGGAGAAAACACAAAATAAACAAACTTGTGCACCAAATTCTTGTTTTTTTAATATAATTAAAGATATATAAGATGTAAAGTTCTGATTGCAACTATAAATAAGAGCATGTACTAAATTATTAATAATAAAAGACAATATTAACTGAGAGTAAAACAGCACTTGAAAGTGTCTGTGCAAAACTGTAACTACAGCATGCAATAATGAAATGCAGGTATAGCTCAGGGTAACATTGCACACAAAAACACTCCCCCTGGTCACACTCCATGTATCCTGCCTCTTTGGGTCTTTATGAGGCCTTTAACAGGGTTTATTAAAATCTCTCTGAAATGAAGAACTGCAATGAGGCGTTTATTGAGGGATGTTCTCTACTGTATAGGTTAATAAGTTACTGCCACATGATTATGCATCTTGTATTACGAAAAGTCTCTATGTAACAACCCACTGAAGTCTGACTGTGGGATTTATTTAATAATTTATTTTTTGCCTATATTTGGTTGCATCTCTGTGTCTGTAAATGTTTCTATGCGAAACCAAATGGAGAATTTTAATTTTAACTGAAAACAAAGTATGTATAACTGCTCTACTAAACACACAAATGCAACTCCATTGTGCTTCTGTCGCAAGTTGATAAAGTTGATAATGTGGTCAATGACAAACTTATTTTTACTTACATTTAATGGTTACATAACTTGATTTTAAAAGAGATTCACTCCACCTTATCTAAATGTAACCTTTCAAGATGAGCGTACATGCAAACATTTGCCTGCGTTTTCACACTGATTTATAGTTCACTGCACTTCTTGTCTCTCAACACTCATACAATGACAGCTCTATAAGAGTCGTGTCATGTAATCTTTGAGATGTTTTAGGATTTAAGACACATTTGCTCATGAAAAGAGAGTTTAATTTGACTTTATATGAAAAATTTGAGATTATGTCGCCTTTGAGTATATGCCCTGCCACTTATTCTCAAGTGTGAAATTGAATATGTGCTGATTTAATTTGAAATATTAATATTTCTGAACAAACCGTTTCTGTTCTATTTGGATAATATTAGCTTAGTATATAAACAAAATCATTTCAGGTACATTTGAATTTAGCAGTCACAGAGTTTTGATTTTTTTTTTTAATTCTAAATAAACCCTGTCAGTAATAATCAACTTCTAAGTATGTCTCTAGAAATATGTTTTGTAGGTGCTTTTTTATGCTCCAGTGATTTAGAGGTTGACACGCTGCTTGTTGAGTGATTCACCAAACAAACAGACAAACAAAAATTCTTCTGAAATTGGTGAGGTACAAGGACTGAAAAAGGGTCAAACTCCAGCAAATGTCCAAAGAAAAACCTTTAAAGACTTTCAGAAGGCCTGCTCAAAACCGCTTGAAAAACAAACAAGTCTGGCTCTTCGGAAACAAAATATTTTTTAAAAAAAATGAGGAGTTGCTAAATTTTGCACAGTACTGTACATCATTTCTGACTTGTCGAGTCATATGGTCGTGGCAGGTACAGTACAGAAACAGACTCTCTAGCTTTGACTACTTTTATCACTGCATGTGCATATCAGATTTGCATCTAGGTATGTAACCCTTGAAGTCCTCTCCTCTTCTGCAGTAGCTATATTGTATTTAGATTATTAAGTGTAATATTATTATTGTTGGATACTAAGATTTGTAGAGCACTGCATTTTCCCGGTGCTGCTTGTCCTGTGTGCTCTCCAGGAGCACCATCATGCACAGTATGTCTGGGAAATGAAATGGCTATAACATACTTATTATTTCCCTTGACAACACATATAGGTATCACAGTACAAAAACGTCTATCAGTATAGTTGGTATGATTCTAAGCATAATGCAATCTCACCTCCATGGTAGAGATTCATGGAAATGTTAAGTTGCCAATTAATCTAACCACATGCATGATAATCTGCACTTTTAAACACATTTAAAGAGACAGTAGTTCATTTTGATAGATGTTTCCTGTTTGACACTGTCATAGAGATAGAAGTCCATTCTGGTAGATACTTTCTGCTAAAAAGAATAAGAACCCCATTTCTTTTCCTTAATCACATTTAGAAGTTGTAGTTTTAACTGACAGTATGACCTACCCTACTTTTAAAAACATAATTAAAGGAAGCTTGTCAGCTTTTCACTCTTACTGTATGTGACCTTGGTAGCTTCTAGATAATGTCTTTCAAAGGCAGTTCGCTATAAGTAAGAGGCTTAGTTCATCTGCCTTACTGTAGGAACAGGTTCTTCCATATTTCCATGTTCCATATGAACAGACATCACTCAAACTTACCGTAAGACACAAGAGTAAAGGCCCACATCTTGAAGGTCAGCAGGTCTGAACCAAATTGCGTCCTCCTCCTTGCTCATGCGCACGCCATCAAAAGAGATGGGCTCCTCAAAGTCACTGTGGCCAAGGCCAGAGCTGCGGTACCACATGAGGCTAAGGCCCACACTCTGTGCCTGGCTGTAGTTGGCTCGGATGTAACCATAGAACAGTGCGCATTTTATCCGTACCGGCTCACCCTGAAGGACCCGGTACTTCAGATAGTCCACTGACCAGTCTGTACAGCCATCCACTACAAAGAAGCAGAAAGAGAAGGAACAAGACATGCATCATTACCAAAGTGAATTTATAAAATGAGTCATAAAATCATAAATCATGCATAAGCATTAGTACTGCAATTCCAGTATGCAGTATATTCAAAGATATATTATGTAACAACAAAGCAACACATCGGTATTTTGCATTCTCTCATTGCTTTAGGACAGGAGGGAAGATTGCTGGGTCATAAACAACAATGTCCTGTGTGTATTTTGAAACACTCCCTCAAATAGCTCTATTAGTAATGAGACAATAAGCTATGTATACAGTATGCAAGTATACTGTTATTTCATTGTGTATGCTGAATAGATAGTCATATAGCAGAGGACTTTTAGCTCCATAGTGTGTGTGTGTATGTGTGTGTTTTTTGAAGATTGCAATTAAATTTGTTACGTCAGTGCTAGACAACTCTTCCCTCCTTACCTGATATGTTGACATTTCTCATCCAGGGCATATGTGCTATGATTCCCTCTGCAAAGGAAGCTTTGACTATCTCATATAACCACTGTGACATTTGGAATTAACCATAAAATATCTTCATAAATGATGTCATGCACCTTCAAGTGCTGTGGGTGCACCACAGCTCCAGTGCAACACAGTGCAAGGCTAGCTTGTTGTTAGGAATAAGCCCTTCAACAGGTTTTGTGCCTTGTCCTACAGTTCTACAGCTCTGCAATCTGACTAAGTTTTTGTATATAGTGCAGTTCAGAAGAAAACAGTTTTAAAATTAAACCTAACATGTGCAGCACAGATGAGAACTGGACCTTAAAGCCTTATCTATGAAACGCAAAGAAACTGGCAGGGCCTACCAGGCACGCTGGTCTGTTCTACTTCTGGCAAGCACATCTCTCCTAGTTCCCAAGCTACTGGATTTTAACCTATGGCCTGCTATCTGTCTCTGACTAATTAGGTAACATTTGTTTATCCAGCAGGTGTATATTTGAAAGCATGTGTGTGCATGTGTAACCAGAGACTGAGAGAAAGAGACAGAGAGAAGTAGTGATGGTGTGGTGAGATAAAGTAATAAGAACCCTGCTGCGTGCCAGTCTGTGAGTGATACGGAGCCTCACAGGGACAGCTATGCTTGTAATTAATACTCTTAATTACCAGGGAAGTAATATGTGTCTTTCTGTGGGCGCGCTCGTGTGTGTGTGTAGGTGTGTGTGTGTTTTTATGAGTGTGCATTCCCTATACGAATGGTTGTCTGCCTAATTATGTCAGTAATTAGCAGCGTGCTTAGCTACAAATGTGTGTGCACTTACGTACATTTGAATGTGAGAGAGTTAGAAGGTGTGTGCATGGATTGAAATGTGAAGCCCTGTCTAATTATCACTCTGCCCACATGCCCTAATACATGCAAACAGGCATAACTGTACTTTCATATGTGTTTACGTACACACCTCAGAACTTCAGACTTGATTACTTTAACTGTCAAGCATCTTAATGATGAGCACAGTTAAGGTTACACAAAATTTTTTTGTTGAAGATTTTGATACACTATTAGATACTTTAATAATTCTAAAAAGCCACAAGACATCATAATAAAAAAACAATACAAACCTCAGAGAAAAACTAAACAATAGGGTGAATTTCCTCTACATTTTTTATGACATAAATATCATTACACAGAAGTAGAAAGTAAATCTTCTCCCTTCTCTGAATATCAATCTACTAATCAACAGGGACAGCAGAGGCTTCATTTATCCTTTTTTTATGCACCTTCTACACCTCTAATGGATATGACCTCTGCATGGCTCTCCCAATATCCATTTCTGCCCCCTGTGCCACAACAAAAACTGTTTACTCTAACAAGCTTGCCTGAATGAAGCAATGAAAGAAAACACTTTATTCAGAAGCTCCATGCCTGTCTTTTCCTTTCACCGTGCAGACCTGAGCTGTCTGAGAAACAAACTCCACATGCATAAAAGTATGTATATATAAACACACACACACACACACACAGACACACACACACACACACACACAAGGAGACCTTTCATTCCTTACAGACATCCCAATGGGAGTTGTCTAATGCGGTGGCCTTTTGTGGGGGAAACCATATTTACGTCTGAGACTCAAAACGGTTTTATCAACTCAATTAGAGGCTGACATTTCCCACATCCCCACGCTGGGCCGGAAAATCAATGATTCCCGCTGGAGGAATACTGCAGTCCCCACCTCTCACTCTCTCACACTGACAGCACCACACATATCTACACGCACATACAGAAGCTCTCTCTTTTCTTCACTGCTCCTCTGGGACGTCGCGCATTTGTACTGATTCTGTTCGGCCACTCTTAAACAAGCCCATACTGTAAAGGGTCTTTCCATATGGACACATTCCCACATGACTGTCAGTCTGAAGAAAGGTGGCCTCTGCTCCTCCTTTACTGCAGTACCACGAGCTGCAGTACTCCCTTACTGGCTAGTGCTAGTCTGCTGCTGTTGCCCTAGCACTACTACAGCACATGATATAGAGGGCATAGGTATGGCTGGTGCAAGAAAATAGCAAGGGGGAGGGATGTCAAGCTGTGGGATGTGTGTCGTGTATGTGTGTGCGTTTCAAAGAAACCTTATTACATTCTGTGTTGAGGTCCAGACCTGTCCGTCTTCATGTGACACTAAAGCAAGGCAATAAATACAGACCCCTGAGCTAGAATAAATTTACTGGCACTCATGCATACACACTCGTGGAGCCACACAAACAAGCAAACGCACACTTGGAAACCAAACCCAACCTCCTAACATAAAATCACAGATTGGGCTACGTCCAACCCGAGTCAACTCCTGCTTTGTTTCTCCCATAATCAAATTCCCGTGATCCTTTCACAACATCATATGCCTCCAGTGGGCTTCCATGTCTCTCACTCGCTCTCACATTGCTCTCAGTTATCAGACTCGCTTCTCTCATCACTACCTGCTCTCTTAATGAAGTGTAATTATCAAACGTTAGGTGGGTGGCAGGGTTCTTGCAGGCCAGGAAGACATTGAGTGATCATATGTGGATAAGGATACTTAATAACTTTCTGTCTCTTTATCATTTTCTCAGTTTACACCCACGCCACATGGATGACTCTATTTCCTATCTCCCTATGCCCCTATGACTTGTAGCTTGGCCCGCTCATGTTTCCTCCTCCACTGGCGATTTGGGACTTTTTTTTTTCTTTATAACAATAAATAATTGCTTTGTTGTTTAACCAGTGACTGAAAAGGGAAGCAGATGACCAACAAAGTCTCCTAAATTTGCCTATATCTAAGGATAATTATGAACTACAGTATCTCTTGATGGCTTTCAGGCCCTACAAAAGTTTGTGTGTGTGTGTCTGTTTGTGTGTGTGGAGGGGGGTGGGGGGTGTAATGGTGCATAATCTATAATAAAACATCCACTATTCTATAAAGCATCCATAAGCTTTCTTCAAATGACTTAAATCTACTGTGTTGCACACATTAGTACTATAAGTCCTTTATATTCAGCTAATGGAATGAATAAATATACAGAGCAGTAAATATAGAGAAACCATTCACACATTAGTCTTTAAAATGGGCTTAGGTACCAATCACAATGTGTCCTTTAGTCTCATTACTGTGCCTTAATTCTCTATCTCCCCATCTAGCCTCCAGATTATTTAATCAAGGAACAATATAGTCAACCACTACCCGAGTCTTAACCTGTAGTGATAGAATCCCAGCTGTCTCTGTAAATCACTGACTTTGTCTTTTTAGCCAACTGTTCCTCTGCGTGTCCCTGAATGTGCCCTGAATCTGAATGCTTTTTCCAGGCTTGCCAGCCTTGAATCAGAGGTAGGTTAACATTGGATCTCCACATAAATAAAAAGCCCATAATGAGGGACATACTGTGTTGGAGGGATGACATAAATGTATAACCGAAGTAATAGCAAGATATTTGCAGTTATTATCATCCTTATGTACACCTGCATGAATATGATTGGAAGTAATAAGTCAGATAGTAGCTGAGAGCTGTGAGTAAGTGTGTTTGTGAAGTGAATGCAGGAGCTGGTGCCAGTACACTAATGCAGTCAGTGCTCTGCTTAAAATAACAGTCTTTTTAATGCTGTTATGTGTGATATTTGCTCTGATTCTTTGCTATAAAAATGTACTCTAAGAACTGAACTCTTATAGGTAGGGGACCCACATCAACCATGTCTGCATATGTTAACTGCCAGCTGATTCAACTCAGAAACTCAGCAATGAGCAAAATTAGCTTCTGCCATCTGTCTTCATTATTTGGTATTTACAGAACAAGAACATCTTATAATAATGCAGCTTGGTTTTGTTTTGATCCTCCACTGTTGCAATGAAACACGCTACTTTCTAACAGCACCTCACATAGCCTCAGTTGGCATTTGCAGTACATATTGCAGTACACACCTCTCCTATTTCTGTGAATAATACAAAATTCTAAGTTTTATAAATTTGTCTGTCGGAAACATTTCCAACGTGAGCTAATTTTGCAACCTGCAATCACAAAAAGATAATTTATACTGAAACCTTTGCAATTATGCAGTTGAGGCCAGTACCTATAGACCCAGTGTCAACATTTTTAAACATCCCGTTGTGCAACCACTAAACACACACGGTTCCTATTATTTGTAGAAAAATCCGTCCAATTCCTTATTCCTCTCCTGCTAAAACTCCAGAAAAACCTCCAGCATGGACAAATAATGTGATGTCTGCTTTTTTTTGCTTATCTCTCCCACTCTGTACTTCTCTGTCTCTAAATCGTTCTCTTTCACTAACAGTTTACCATTGTTCATTTATATGCAAATGTGAAGAAATACTGATAATTTCTCTCCTAAGATGGCGAACTGCATTTGCTCTGAAAAAAGTTAGATGAACATCACTCTTCTTTGAATAAATCTGCCTCCGTGCTCTTTCTGTCGCAACTGAATAAAAAAAAAAAAAACGAGTTGCAACAACAAAGATTTAATTTTAAGGCATTGTCAACCTGTTATA